TATATATATATATATATATAAAATCGTAAATTTCACATACTATTTCACCAACTGCTCTCACCTCATTGCCAAAAATGTCTCTTCGGTCATGAATAAGGATCCAGCCCAGCCTCCAGCCAGGAACCAGCCAGCGCTTGGCCAGCCCTCCGCAGGACAGGATGGGGACATTGCTGCTAAGGGTAGCTAGAGGCTCGAATTTGGAATCCGAGAACACCTGAGGAGAAGAGGTGCTTATGACTGCCTTCTTGTTTATAGTCCTCCAAATCACAAAGCTGCCCTTTTTTTTTTTCTTAATCACTAGAAACAGATCCCAGGATAAACCAACTCCTCCCATCCTGAAGCATGGCCCGATCCAAGAGACTTCAAAGGAGATAATTCTAAGATTTTAAGCCTGGTGTCTGGACTGGATTAAAAGAAGCCTAAAGGGAGGAAACTGACCTTACCCCAGTAGTACAAGCCCATGGAGCTGCCTCTAGGGAATAAATGATGGTTGGATTATATCTTTAAAAATAAAACACAGACACTTTATCTGAAATTCCTGGTTCTAGGTTTGCTGCAGAGTACACAATTGTTTGGGTTTTAGAAAAGGCTGTAAAAACCCACCTTGACCTGCTTTGTAAAACCCAAACAATTCCACATCCTGCAGCACATCTCGGCTCAAATAGTGTGTACACCCCCAGAGCCATGTGGGACAGCACTCCTACTGAGGCATAGTAACATTCCTGCCCCTTTTCCTACACTCCTGACAAATACATAGGTCCATAAGTAAGATCAATAAAAACCTATAAGTATTTTTACATCAGTCCAAGTCAGGTTTTTCCACCAAATGAATTCGGAAATTCTTCAGATTTTCATAGCTTTTTGGACTTTGGAAAACCATCCTAGGGGTGGTAGTTCCATGCATCTGTCAGGAGTGCAGGGACACTCCTTTGCTGTACTGAAGTGATTCCAGGTTGCTTCTGGTGATTCTAGAAGCCTTCTCTCAATGTCCTATGCCAGAAGTGGGAATTGAGTGAGTGTGGCGACCTACTATGTGCAAAACTCACCATGTCTCCATAGATCTCATCAGCTAAGATGGGAACACACTGCCGTGCTGCCACTGAAAGTAAGAGAAATATCCTGAAGTCATTTATAACCTGAATTACCATGTATTAGTCTCAGGCTTACTATTCTTTGCATTTCATGCTTGTGGATTTCACTTTCCTCTTTAAGAAATATCATGCTGGGCCCTCCCTGGTGGTGCAACAGGTTGAAGCACAGCACTGTGAAGCAATCTGCAGCCACTGCAGCACAAGTTCAATCCCCGGGCCAAGAAGGTGACCTACATGGCACAGCAAACCTCTCCTGACCTGCCCGTTGCTCCCCTCAGCAGTGTGTTTCAGTACATCTGCTGGTTCTGCTCCCCACTTCCCCATTCTGTCTCTGTTGAATCCTCTCACCCTCATACCTCTGGCCTGTACCCCAGTTCTTTTATAAATAAGTAAATCTTAAAAAAAGAAAAGAAATATCAATGCTTATGTTCTTCCTGGGTATGGAGCTAGAGTTGTCATTTAAGTATCTAGATTATTTCAAACCTTGTGTTGTTCAAACCTTGTGTTGCACGTGACAGAGATGGTGAAGAGGCTAGCATTGCCTTTTTCTCCTTCTTTTACCCCAATCCTACCATTTTAGTGAAATGCTCTTTACAAGAGACTACAGAGGAACTCCCACAGCTCCACCCAAGCCTTGGAATTTAGTGAAGAGCTCTTGTCTCACTCCAGGAAATAGTTGTCAGATTTTGTCCCCATCTCCTCTCCTGCCTGGTAAATTCTGCTAGTCTCACCTGCCAGAATTTTTTGGAGATGGCTTCGATTGAACAGTGACCCACAAGGATTTGATGGATTATTGACAATGAGACAAGCTGTCTTCTCATCAATCAGGTATTCCAGCTGTTTCAGGTCAATTTCCCAAGACTTTTCTGGCTGTAGAAGAAGAAATAGTGAGACTAAGATTATTTGGAAAAATTTAGTGGGAATAATCCCCAAGTGGTATTAAGAAAATCTAGTGTTGGTAGCCTCAAGTACACACTTGACCTGCTATGTAAATCCCTTCCTCCTCCCCCCCCCCCCCAAAGAGAAAATGTTAACAACTTAAAAGAAATAGATTCCTTGGAAAAGGGCAAGGTGGGGGCGGGGGTGGGGAGCTCTAACTCAGCAGACTTCCATGAGATCTCACTGTAACCATGGACTTCTTTGCCTGGTTATTTACTTTGACCAGTCTGCTACAATAACGACGTATATTTTTACAAAGTCATAATTGAGCATTTGAGTCCAAAAATTAAAAAGTCATTTACCAGTAAATCGTAGAGTTTGACTTCAATTCCCATAGATTCAGCCAACGTCTTGTAGAGAGAAAAACCGGGTCTCGGAACTAGGATGTTTTGCCCTGGGTTGGCCAACACAGCTAAACAAAGTTCAATGGCTTGGCTGCAGCCACTTGTCAGAATGACATCCTGAGAAGACAATAAAAGGTTCATTTTCCCAGAGGTTCCAATAGCAACAAGGGAAAGAGATTATCAAATGGATGACAGGTTAGCAATAAACTTAAAAGTTCTAAGTGGAGTAGCAGGAACTGTACTAAGTTAAAACAGGAAGAAATTAATGTGTCCATTCAAATGTTGTTGTTAATGTTGTTGAAAATGTTAACTTGGACCTCCCTGGTGGTGCAAGGGGTTGGGTCTCAGCACTATGGAGCTATGAGCAGCCAGTGCAGCACCAATTGGATCCCGGGCCAGAGAGGTGACCCACATGGCACGGCAGATCTCCCCTGACCAGCCCACTGGTCCCCTAAGTGGTGTATTTCAGTCAATCTGCCCACTCTGTCTCCGGTGAATCCTTTCACCCCCTCCCACACCTATGACCTATACCCCAGTTCTTGTATGCATAAATAAATAAATCTTTAAAAGAGAGAGCAAATATTAAAACTTAAAAGACAGATTTCTTGGAAAAGGGCAAGTAGCAGTGACTCAGCACTTCAAGGAGAAATCACTGTGCCAGGAACTTTTTTGCCTGGTTATTTATTTACTTTTGACCAGAAATCTGAAGTCCGGACTCTTCTTTGAAATATAGATGTGAAGAAATGTTAGCACCCCAACCCCGCTCAGTAGACAAATAAGGGGAGGGTAGCATTTAATATGTCACATTATTTCCCATCTGAGTGACCTTAAGGTAAATGAGGGTAGCTAGAATTTTTTTTCAATATCCCATTGATATATTTAATAAATAAATTTAATAAATATTCATGATTTGGTGTTTATGAACTATTGTTTTTTGGTGGTCATTTGCAGCTCATCAAACTCAGGCTAACTTAAGTCCTTGAGCCTCCTTGTTTCAGATACTACAGAAGGTGTATACAACTGCATGACTGTATTGGAACGACACTGAACAATAATTACATAATTAAGTACAATCACCGATTAGTGAAGACCTGAAATTACTAAAGGGAGGTTATCCAGAGTTTTTGTTCCTCTGGAGCCCAGGCCCTTTGAACAGGGAAAGAAGAATAAGGAATACGAAGCAGGAAAGAATACGCTACCCAGTATTCTGAAACAAGACTTACCTTGGCTTCTAGGGGTGCCTCAGGACAGTGGTAATACGAAGCAATCTCCTCCCTACTGGATAGGTAGCCTGAAAGAAAGAGGGTTAGGGAAAAGCTGGGCATTTCATCCTGAAACCCAGAGCTTGTTTCAGACTTCCTGCCGTCAGTGCTCAGAGACAAGGTCTCAGCCGCTACAGATAAAGGAGCTGAAGTGTATAGGTTACACTTGTATAATACGTACAGATGTATAAGTTATGTCAAGGAGAGCTCTGCAAACTATAAAATACTCTCCTGTCCCATCTTGGTTACTGTAATTAGGTGTTATTCTCCATGAAATAGAGGACTTAAATTATTCCTAAATCCCTTGCAGGTGCTCCATTTTTTGAAAAATTGTCATCAATGCATAAAACACCATTTAACTTTGTTCAGTTTTACAGGGGCAAAGTGATATTCTCGTTAGCTTACAAGCTTGAAGTTTTAACAATTTCATATACATTATCACATTTTGCCAAATTGCTTTTCAAGAAAGACTGCCTTCAGTCAGCAAGGACAGAGATAATATTTCTTAATGTTTAACTTAGTGGGTAGAGATGAGTCTCTTGAAGTTACATAAATCACTACCACTTCCTTCATTATTAATAAGAAAAAATATTTACTTAAGATTATATTATAATTTGTATTTGCTTTGGCATGAAATGTTCATATCCTTTAAATGTCAAAGGGAGCTTGGTTTTAGTTTTTCAGGTTAAAGCAGTTTTCTAATACTTTGGATATAAAAATCATTAATTTATAATCATTAATTAATTTTTTGTTGTACAATACTTTATGAAATATAAATAATCAACCTAAAAGTCACGTCCCTGAGATCTCTTTGAAGTGTTTCAAAGATTTGTTTTCAGACTAAAATGGAATTTCTACTCTGCATTAAGGGTATGCAATATGGTTAGGGGGAAAATGTGCAAAACAAAAACAAAGTCAAAGAATCTTTATTTTACCAAAATGTTTAGAGTACAAATGTTTAATAAATGGACAGTGTTAATTAAGCCTAAATAAGAATAATTTCTTCTTTCAGAAACTACCGGTTGCTTTTTTCTTTAAATAGAGAGCCAATTCTTTGTCATTCTTGATTGTTGTTGTTTTAAACTCTTTAATCTCAAACAATTAGTCCTACATTTTAATGGGGTCAAGATCGTCATTAAAATAAAGTTTGAATGTATAGAAGGAGAAATAAAGTCAGAGTATTTTCATAAGGCAATGAATAAAGTAACTTCAGACTTAGGGTCTCAGGAATCAAGTAGCTGCCACCAAATGCAAGGTCTTCAAATTGAAATTAGCAATGAAGGGGGTGGACTATTCCTTTGAGAAATATGTGTGAGGGAGGCCAGAGGGGAGATGCCAGCAGGCCAGAGAAAGGCCAGGAAAAATCTGGACCTTGGTGGCTGTATTTAGGCACCCTGAGTCCCCCTTTCTCCAAATGCAAATGATCATTTATATTTTTGCAGCTCCTTAGGAGCTTTGCCTCAGGAAAGCAAAGAGAATTCTAGAAACTAAATGCCATTAGATGAGCACTAAAGATTTGGAAGCCACCTTATGATCCAGGAGAACTTACCAACGGAAGGGGCATAGCCATTGTATTTCCCTGAGTCCAGAGCATCTTTCATTGCTTGGGTAATTTCAGGGTCAGTAGGCAGGTTTCCAAACACAGTAGGGTCCCCTTTTCATAAAAGAAAGAAGAAAAGAGACACCAAGAGGTTACTTTTCTGCACCTGGTGCTCAGCCTCAACCTCCACTCCCATCTTCATCTAGCCTGGGAGAAGGGGAGCAACAGTTGCCCCTAGCCCAGTGCTCCCAACTCACCGATTGACAGAGAAATCATGGTTTTCTTTGGATTTGGTTTGACCTTCATGCTGTCCACAATGGCCCGGATGGGATTGAAAGTCTTGTCGGACATGTCTGAGGGCTTCACACACCACCTAGCCTTCCTGCCCTTGTTTTTCCCTGGCAGGGAGTTTCTCCCACCGATGTTAACATGCACATCCAAAACTGATGGTGAGTTGTTGTTGCCATTCATCTGAATCATGTAGGGGTCCATTGCTAGGGAAGACTGGGGGAAAACAGAAAGTTCCTGTGATGCCAAGAACACAACATTACCCTGAGGTCTTAAAACTTCTGGGTGATTTCACTGCACACCTCTTTACAAACTCCTTTCTTTGTTGCTTTCTCTTGTAAAGTAACTTTGTTATGAATAAAGGGATTTTTGCTAAAAGAGGCAAGAAAGTAAGAATCCATTGGATCATGTCAATGGAGAGCATTTAGTAGAAAATCTATTGTGAGATTGGCTATGTCCAACCATAATCTACTCAAAAGTTTAACCATGCTCTCAGGAAAATAGGGGAACGACAGGTGGGTTGCTAGACTAGCAAAGCATCTGTGTTCTCTCCTCCCCATGTTGAACCTATTCAAGAAAGTATCTCTCTAACAAGACTGATTCTTCTTCCCCGCAAGGAGCCAGGAAGAACCACAACATATAATTAGAGAGTTTGTGTTAATATTATCATGAGTACAACTAAAACCCCATCCCATAAGCACCTTACTGCCCTATGGAAAAAGAAGTCAATATACCACAAGGGAAGAAAGCATTCACTCAAATAAGTAAGCTGAGGCTTGAGATTTTACCTTCCAAATCAAGAAGGAGCTGTCGCCAAGGAGTCAAACCTGGAAGCTGTGCTGGTGCTTCTTTGCTAGGTTACAGTGACAATGAACTCAGATGCAATTCCTGACTCCTGAAATAGTGCCCACACATGGGCGTTGGGCCTGAGACTTCTATGCTATTGGTTAGTGTGACAACTGTGCCCTCCTCCCTAAGCCCCTCCTCACTTTTTGCTGCCTCTCACCTCTAACCCTACCCCCATCACCAAATCAGGAATTTGTCCTCATGTCAAACATCTGGAATCCTCTTTGTTAACTCTTTCTCAGCACTCTGTGTGATGTTTGAGAGAGCTATCAGAGGGGTCGTTATGCATGATGGCTGGTCATTTTTTATTAGACTTTTTTGGTTCTAAAACAAGTCAAAAATTTTTAAGAGAATTTTAACAGAAATATATCAAGTACAAAATGAGAGTCCCTCCTTGTTCCTTGCTGTCTGTCCATTCCATTTTCACTCCCAGTATAACGATTTAGCCATTTCTAGCCATTGACCAAGATAAATAGATTGATAGAAGAATTATGACTCTATAATAGATGTACAGATGCATACTTTTATATGTGTTATTTCAAAACACAGATAAACTCACACTGTTTAACTTGTAAAGAGACATTTTTGTTTACTTTCTAAATCTTGGACTCCTTTCCCTGTTGGTCCTCAAAGTTCTATTCCAGAACAAACTGAGCAGCTGAGGTCTCTCAGTAAATAGCTGAAAAGTAGAGGGTCTTAAAGCAATTACTGTGAATTATTCATTCATCTCCTATGGAAGTATTAGAAGAATAAAGTGCCAGGTGAGATTTAAACAAGCAACTTTTCTAAGCAGGCACAGTAAAGCCCTCCGTATTGCTGGGGTTAAGAGAAGGCTTAGTGACTCCAGAGCTCAGATCCTGTTTATTTACTGGGTGGCAAAGAGTTGTTACATAAGTTCTTTCTTTTCTATCTACTTTACAGTGATTCAATCATTTGCATCTTTTCAGTGAGGCTAAATAATCTTTTATTTTTCTAGGCTTTGCAGAAAAGGGTCTGCTTTCTAGAATACATCCAGTGATACTCTTCCCTAATCTAGGGACACAAGCATTTACTTCATGGTTTATCCAGTGAAGAAGCCAAAGCACCAGACAAGGACAGGAAGCTAGCCAGGCCAAAGGAAGTTAAAGATCTGAAGCTGGAAGCCTTGAGCCCTGAGCTAGTTAAGCAGAGCTGCTCTGTTTCAAAAGGTGAATACAAAGCTCTATCTCTCCAACAGCTGACTTGAAGGCTTGAGTCAGCTCTGTTATCTGGCAGCCTATGGCAAATACAAATGGTTTACTTGTTTTACTGTCCCATTAAACAGATCAGATAGGTGTCTGATCCATAGACTGGTTAGGGCTACTCTTTGGGAAGTTGCTACCAGAGTGAAACATGGTCTTTCCAAAGAACAGGTTTTTGGCAAGAGAGAAGACTATTCTTTCCAAAAATGTTTTTATTTCACCACCCTGTGTTATGCCAGAGGGCATTTAAAATAAAACATTTTTATACTGGGGAAAGTTAAAACTATGTATATTCTTAAAACATTCATCTTTTTTCTCCCACAAAGTTGAACACTTGCTCTCTATATCTATTTTTTTAACTGGGATAAAATTCACATCAATAGTCACCATTTAGAAGGGTAAGATTCAGTGATAGATTTTAGCATATTCACACAATGTGCAACCATCATCACCATCTCATACCAAGCCATTTTCATTCCTTCAAAGAGAGACTCAAGAGCCACAAAGTAGCCATTCCTCATTTCCCTCCTTCTGGGCCCTGGCAATTGTTAATCTACTTTCTGTCTCTTTGGACTTGCCACTTCCTGAAATTCCATGTAGATGGAACCATACAATATGTGGCCTCTTTTTTTTTTTTAAGATTTATTTATTTATGCATACAGATCTAGGGTACAGGCCAGAGGTACAGGGGCAGTGAGAGGGTTCACCAGATAGAGAGCAAGGAGCAGAACAGGCAGATCAACGAAGTCCACTGCTGAGGGGAACAGCAGGAGGGTCAGGAGAGGTCTGCCATGCCATGTGGGTCACCTCCTGGGCAGGGATCGAACTCATGCTGAAGTGGCTTTAGCTTCTTAGTGCAGTGCTTTAACCCGCCACCAAGGAGGGCCCACAATATGTGGCCTTTTATAGTAAATGTTTTTGAGGTTCACTGATGTTGTAGTGTATATCATTACTTCATTCCTTTATGTGACCAAGTAATATCCCACTGTATGGATAGACCACATTTGTGTTCCCGTTCTCCTGCTGAAAGCTATTGGGGATGCTTACACTACTTCAGTGTTACAATACTGTAAGACTACTGCTAACATTTGGATAGTTTTTGACTGAACATATATTTTCAATTCTCATGGATACTTTTTGCTTTGTGCAGTTTTAAAATTATATCATGGCTATTTCCCCATGTTATGAAAAACATTCCATCAGAGAAAAGTATCAGAATTTATTGAATAACTTTCCTGTTGTTGGAATGGTGTGCAGTTAGTCTTAATCACTGTTAAGTCTTGTTACACATGGCAAATTTATATCTGGATACATGAAATACCAGTTCATATCTTTTATTATTTCCTTACATTAACAGTTTCTATACTCTACCGCATTGAAGGGAACATTTTCATTTACATTTAGAAATTAAGGTATGATATATCTTCATATAATTCAAATGCATATGTTTATAAACTAAGCCCTGAATACTTTCTTTCCCCACCTCCCCACCCCATAGACAAAGTTACTTTAGTCACTTCTTGTGTATGTTCCCAAAGGTTTTCTAGGTCTATATGATGCTTACTTAACTGCTTGGAAGCTTTTCAAATATATGTACAATATACTATTTTTACACTATGCTATATTTTATACTATGTAGTATACATATAAATCATAAAAATAATGTAAAAGATCTCATTGGTAATTTTATTTTGTCTACATGCTTAAATAATATTTTGGATGTATTTGGATAAAATAAAGTATATTTTTAAAAGTAATTTCACCAACTTCTTTGTGCATTTAAAGATATTTCTCTTAGAAAATTTGAAATTACTACATAGTTTGCATTCTGTTTTTGTTGAATAAGGTTGTTCTATATCTTAGGTAATGGGTTGTGTGGACATTATTTTCATACAGCGAATTCATGCTTTTTGATGGCTACCTAACACTTGTTTAACCTTCTAGCCATTGGTGGACATGGGACAGCTTCCTTCTTTTTCCTATTACAAATAATGTATATTGAGCACACTTATTATGATTAGGAAAATTTTTCATAAATATCCTGTAATTATTTTAAAGATTTATTTTCATTTATATATACAAGAATTGGGGTATAGGCCAGAGGTGCAGGGCAGTAAGAGGATTCACCAGAGACAGAGTGGGGAGCAGAACAGGCAGATCACCTGAAATGTACTGCTGAGGGGAGCAGTGGGTGAGACAGGAGAGGTCTGCTGCACCTTGTGTACCGTGTTGCAGTGGCTGGCCACAGCTGTAGCTGAGACTTTAATTCCTGCACCTCTAGTGAGGCCCTAAGTATCCTGTAATTTGTGGCATGGTTTCCTGAAGGGGAATCATGATTTGAATAAGAATAATAAAGCTGCCCAACTGGTCAACACTTTGGAAGAAAACAATATAAATGTGTCCTATTTTGACAACCCCATGGAGTGCAGACCACTGTCAGGACAGTGCTTGAAGGGTGAGTCAGGGAATCAAGTGAGAACCACAGCAGAGGTTCTCTAGGTGGACACTATGGACACTAAGGTATCCTCAAGGTAAAGAGACTTTCTCTTGATGTTGACTTTCACAAGAGTTAAGTGAAGCAAGGAGGGGATCTTCTCAACGCTAGAAGCCATTGTGACTGATTCCTGCCACTCAGGGTTTAGATTTTTGAGAATCCTAGTCACACCAGAGAGGATTTAATCTCTCCGTCACACATATCCACACAGCCTATTGGCTTGGTGGCCTTTCCCTGGAGGATAAAACAGAAACCTTTCTTTATTCAGATAACCCAGTCGAGGGCAAAAACACTGTCAGTCCACCTTTGTCTCTGGTTTTCCTTTCCTTTTCATTGTTTGGCTCCTGGGACATTTTCTTTTTAATCTTTGGGACTCAGTATTTTGTTATATTTTACCCAACATTGCTAGATATTTTTGTAACAGGAGATTCTCTAGGTCAACCTGTCTCAACGTTGCCAGAATGGAAGTCTCTCTCTTTCTTGATTTGAAGTGTGCCCACCTTGTACTATATCCCTTACTTTCCTAACTTTTTTTAAAAGATTTATTTATTTATGCATACAGAACTGGGGTACAGGCCAGAGGTGCAGGGGCAGTGAGAGGATTCACCAGAGACAGAGCGGGGAGCAGAACAGGCAGATTGACC